AAAAAAACATACAAGAAACATTAGGGTCTATACTATTACTTGGAGTACTCCGTCATACACTTTTCCAGAGTTTTGTTGATAAAACTTTCCACTATATGACCTAATTTAGGTATTAGTCCACTTCGTGAAACCCTATCAAACGTTTTTACCGGAGAAAATGCAATGTGTTTCAGGTGAAGATGGCACAGGTATTCAGTGTTTGACAACGCCTTTACCAGTAACAATCTCTAATATAACTCGCACCCACCAAGAGAAATGAAAAGACAGAATCGAGGAGATCAGAGGTTGTATTTGACGATTGTCAATATATCGGAATTGTGTGATCTAGTTTGGCTAGCAATCGCAGTAGATGTTGAGCACGGCGTTCCCACACGTCATCTGGTGCGGATGCATGACCGAGTGCCTTCAACTAGGTGAGTCCATTCAAACATGTGGTAAGCATTCAATATCGAAAACTTACAGAGATATTTATTTAGAGGATTTATTTACCGCTACACAGGATATACCAACGTTCTTATGACACGAAAATGTTGGAGAAATTCGAGTAAAGTTATTTTCTTAGAAGAGAGTCAGGTTTCATTTCGATGCTTAAACAACATTTCGTGAACGATGTCTTCCAAAATCCTTGAAGTTACACTGGGTAAAAGTACAGATGAATGTTTTTTGAGTTATTACCCAGTACCTACGTTTAAGATAGAGCTGATTTAGTTAAACATAACCGATACGTTAATCAGATTTAATTCCAGGAACCGGGAGAGTCTGTTCGAATTTCAGTTTTTTATTCTAATACTAGTGAGTACATTATAGATCATACAAGATCTAAATGGTTCAAATGGTTGTGGACGGAATAGAAGAAGCTCTCGCTTAACAGGCTTCTGTGTCTAGTAGCAGGGGATCACCGAATCCCCCAGGCAGGAACCTAGGTTCGTAAAATAAAAACCCACCTTCAATAAAGAAGTTTTGCCTTCGAGTTTTTTACTCGGTGCTTCTGTTTTCCAACATTTAGGAGAGTGACTTTCATCACTTCTTCAGAATCAGTTTGTTATATAAATCTATAGCTCACCCCTCGTCACTCCAGAGCTAATTTCGTTCGCTGAGCTCTAGTTTTTCCATATTTTGTGAGAGAAACTACAGCATCATTCAAGCCTCAGCTTTTGACAACGTTTGGGAATATCTTTATTTTTTTTTAGTATATCAGGCTATTAACGATCATTTTCAATTATTTTTCTCCAATGTTGATTTCTGTTCAATTGAGGATTCCAAAACGTTTGCCAGGCTTCTGGGTAGATAGGCATCAGTGATTTTTGTCTTCTCAGTTTGAATCAGGCTTGTCTCTCAAAGTAGATTTACTTAGGACCACCCAGATCGTGGTACGTGGAAGAGCAACCAATGAAACACTCCCCAATACTCACTGTCTTTGACTTTTTGTAATGGAGAAATTTATAGTCAGTTTTTTATTTTCTTCCTGACCAAATGAGCTTTTCACTCTCAAAAGTGAATGGGAAGTTTGGTTGTTAATTTTTCGGCATCCGCAGCTCTAGTTTTGATTCACAATTCGCCACCTAATAATATCGATATGGATATGAGTAGCTTAGTTCTTTTTAGCCAAATTCATTAGGTTGGTAGCTTTTCATAAAAACCAGTCACGTTCGAGGAACAGTGATGATAGAACCGCAATAAAAGTAAATGAGCATGATGAAAACTTCCTGTAGATGAATCCTCAGTACCAGAAATATTATTTTTTTGGTAAATTGTTTTGTAGAACTTTAACATGGAGTAATGCCATATCAACTTACGCACTTGCGAAAATAGTACGTCCCTTTGTATTTGACAGAAAATATTTTAAGCAAACATAAACATTGCCGTACCCACGTTCTTGTCACAAATGAAATCCAGTGAGATTATTTATGCTCGATCGACAAACCAGAATTATTGAACAAACAATGACACAGAAATTCGTTTATTTAACAACTACTGCAATTTAATTCTCTGATACAACAATACTGGCACGATGTCATCTTCAATTGTCCATTCGGGCAATGACAAGAATAAATATCTGCCATACGTTCGTTACATGTTCTCAGTGACTCTGAAATCCATAGGACTGAAAATCTCAGACCCGATTCAACCACTAATGAGCCATCATTTCAAGGTACTATAGCCAGGTGATGGAACGGTGGCACGACAAAAGAAGAACGACGATGTTGATATCTCGGCTTCTTTGAACTATGTTATATTTCGGAAAAAATTATCATGTGATATAGCTGTGGATTCTGTAAATAATGCAAAGCTCCACGCTGAGAATCTAGGAGATGACTTCTTAAATACACCCATGTATTAATACTTTGAATATTATCAAATGATTCTGAACATTGTAATCAAAAATTTGTGCCACTATTATTTTTATTTACATTTTTGATCCACTACAACTCTAAAGTACTATTAATACTGTTTAACCTAGTACAAGAAACACTGCCTACATTTTATAGTTTAGGAAAATCGACAGTACTGGACATATGGATCACTCATATGATGGCTGTATCTTTATCATTCCGTAGTCTGACCCACATGTATATCATGCAAATTACTATTCCAGTTAAAACAAGAGTTAAAAAATACTAGATTCCTCCGAGATGTTTCTTTCTGTAGTCAAAAGTGCTGTGTTTGAGGATATCTCTTCGAGTGTTTGAGTTAGTAATCGGTCTCATGAGCTGCTTTCACATGCCTACAGTGTCTGTCGGTTTTACGTTCTTCTAAGATTGTGATGGAATGACTGCGTCATGGAGTTTTTGAAAATCAGAACAAAACTGTTACGTTCTTGAAGTCCACCCAATAATATTCAGGAACGAACTTGCCTCGATCTAGGTTAGTGTCTTGACACAACATTCTAACTGGTTCGACCTTGAGTCTAATAATGCGTGGTTCCGAGTTGAGACTAAAGGCTTGAGCAGAGAGACAAAGATTATTGGCTATTTATCAAGAGAGAGATAGAGAGGACGAGCCAACTGAAGCACTATTAGATTTATTTTTATTCAGACTAATGTTGAAAAGAAATATGAATAGATAGGTGACTAATATGACCGCAACGCAAAAACAATTAGACAAATACAATTATGTCCACGATACGCTTCAAGGTAGGAAAATGGGGCAAAAAAAGTTAAGTTTAAATTACAGTACCGTTGGGATAGATGAGGATATAACAGTGAACTATGGATAAATCAAAAGCTTGCTATCTTTAGAAATATATATGTCAGTATTCAACAAGCTTTGGGTTGAGTGAAATCATATTCCCAAAGCTAGCTTTGGTTGTTTATCGTGGATTCTTTATTTCGTCATTGATATAAAAATGTTATTTGCTGATATGTAAAACGAACTGGAGCCATATTACCTTGGAAATGTTACGTATTCCGCGACAATCGGGTTCGAAATGACGAACATTTTATGAAAATGTGATTCTGCTCCTTTTATTATGTGTAGTACTAGTTGCTTTAGTGGTTACTCTTGAAACATCTTATAAGTAATATGTGAACACGGATACTTTATTTTACCTGGCATAAACGTAAATACCTGTACTAACATAAGAGATTCATACAACAAACTTTTTCCAGCAACTACATCAATGAGAAGCTCATCCTGTCTTGCTTCAGAAACAATAACGGTCGATGGAAACTTAATATGAACTGACTAAAAGCACAGGGAATGGTCATGAGCAGTGATGAGCAGCACAGGTAAAACACATTCAAAAATAAGCGTTGGTAGATAATGTTAAATAAGTATCCTGCCTAATCAAGAAAACAGGGGAATAATCTGATTGTTGTCGAAACAGTTGTTCTGAAACCACTATAATATCAGATAGACCTAAGCCTGTATATACCCGAAAAATTTGGAAAACCTGCAGTCATTTGGGACTAGAGAGCAATTAAACGTGGGTGGTTGACACCGGCGACATACTATAGTATTCTAATTATAGTATGAATTAGGAATTCCAGGATTAACGCAATTGAATTAAGAAGACACAGGCACAAACAAATGTATTGTATTTAGAATTCGAAATCGAGCATTCAACAAGTACAAAAGAATCATTAGTTAATTCAAACACCACATCCGCCACAGCTTAAATAGAAGTATAAGTGTTTGTAATCGGTTGTACGTCTTCTTGTTAAGTTCATCCTGAGTCTGTCCGACATTGTATAAGATAAAAACTTTGTAGTATCTAGAAAGTGCTCATTAGTATTGGAATTAACAAAGGAAATCGGAACAGACTCACCTGGAATTGTATACAACCAGCATGTCGGTTTTGTAATGAAATCATTAATATCTAGAATTCGAACCATCCAACACTAATAGCCGCTACAATTATATAAAATTGAGTTTCTCACATTTTAGAAAACATTTATTCGAAAATACACAGATATACACATTGCATCATGTTCTGTACACATTATAGTGGAAAAGTTATTTTGTTTATCGATCTATGACATTCCTGTTTTATGAACATTGTAAATTATATTTTGCACAAAAAGACATTTGAAAAGACTGTGACAGAAAGTGATGTGTTTAGAGCATATCAAACATGTATCAGTTCGGTTATTACTTTAATTAGTCCTAATCGTACTAGAAAAACAAAATATTAAATGATTGAGCTCTTTGTGACCATCATGGTAAGGAAAACAATTTGCGTAAAATCTTAGTACATCCATTTGAATATCATAATTATCTCTTATAACCGCCTTGTACATTGTTTTATTTTAATAATCAAATGTGTGGATGATTTTTCTGAAAAAGTTACTTTATATTTTTCCTTTGCATTTACTTCCTATATTACTAATGACAGTTAATGAATAAACAATAAATAAAGAAATAGAAAACCATGTTTGTTAAGAAGTACATTTATTTAATAAATAATCAAAGAGAACAATATAACACCATAAGTGTTAAAACCTTTACATTAATAAAGTTATAACCGTACTTCTCAAAGAATGTAAAACCAATTTGAGATATCAATATTTTCTTTGGATACGCAAATGACTGCATGTCCTAGAGCAAAATGAGCAACAATTTAAATTCCTCGATATTTTGTGATCGTCAATCCATAAGGCTAGAAGAAAAGCTGTAGAATTCAACAAAAAACTGTATTCTTTAATTGGGATATTGCGTTTTAAAAATGTCTCGGATAAGGCTACATACTTTCACCATACCTTTAAAACTATCGTGTAAAACTTACCTTTGGTTAAAAACAGTCATAATTCGATACTAGCTCTAATATACACATTTCAAGTCAGTCAAAATCATCATAACAAGGTCTTTTTGTCAATCTTTATATTAAAGTACACGAAGAAACCATCTCAGTCACATGACCTTTCACAATGTGGGAACCAAGTTTTGAAAAAATACGAGTAACTGTTTTCAGTTCCTTTTCTTGACATGGACAAGTTTTGTCTACTGCCTTGTTATTCAATTTTTCTCGTCCCCGGGTTATTAAGGCTTATACATCAAGAACAGATTCGGAAGAAAATTTAGATCATAACAATAAAGCCAAAAATACGTTTAAATAAATGTATGTTCTTTTTACTTCATGGTGTTTTTAAGTAATTACATTTATCCTGTGCTCTGATGAAATTATAATTTTTAAGATATTTTCCGACTGAAAACATTGAAAGTTATTGTGTTATATAATTGAACATCATTTTTAACCGATTTTGAACTACTCACCTACTAGGCTTGCGGATCCACATATAGTAAACTGGACAATGTATAGGTTCTCTGAACTGATAAATGTGAGGACAAAGGCACACAAAGGACATCCTATAGCCTACGTAGAATAACAAAGGATAAACACACATATTATCGATTTCCATATGAATGTTCATAGTTTCCGGTAAATAATTTAGGTTTAAGTAACAAATATGATTGATGACCATAAGAATTATTTAGAAAGTTTTTAATCATGTTTATCTGATATCCAAAGCAATTCATTGATTATGGTATCTCATTTCAAATTGTTGATTGAAATGATAATATTTCAGATAAAAATTATTTGACTACTTAATTAATTTTACTATCCTTCAGTTTATGACAAGACTGTGTAAGTGAAAGGAAATTCGGTAAAGACTTTCGTCTCAAGCCACTTCACAATCTGTAATACGTGAAACTAAATCATTTAGTTAGTTTTTGAAAACACCTTGGAATAAACACAAAGTCATCTGAACTTAAGCTGACATCGTTTTCTTGTGAATATTGAACCAAAAGAATGGTAAAATTATTTGAAATAAATTAATTTGAACTATATAACTAAATAACAGTATGCTATGCACCAAAAATTTATTTATTTGCAAAAATCAGTGTGTGGAAGATTTAGAACACGCAGAGTAAAATGGGTTGATTTTATCTCAAAATCTTTCTTGTACATGATTTACAAGTTTACCAAGGGAACTAAATACATCAAACACAGTCGACATAAAACTCATTACGCTTAAAAGGTAAGAATGGTGGCTACAACTCAGTCTTCAGTCTTCAGTAATAAGGATAGTAGGTCGATGACCCTGTGTTAATCCTGACGCACTGCTTTCCAGTGAAGGTCCAGCTTCTCCTTGAATACTTTCAAGGAGAAGCTCGCCAAATTATCTGCTTCAAACCAACAGATTTACATATTATCCACGTTGTACAAGTTCGAGGATAAGCAGTTTCACATACAATGAACATTTATCCATAGTAAGCAGTAGAATGATTTAAACTAGCGTGACTACATCGAGAAGAAATCATCGGCTTCTCAGTCATCGGAAGTCATGGATCTTGCTTGGGGTAATTCACTTTAGTGGGAAGCAAACAAGAAACCGTGTAAATAAATAAAATTTGGGACATAAGAAGTGGTAAAGAAATTATTTCCAAATGATAAAAATAATTGAAAGTGTAAGTAGGTTAAGATCCCCTATTATTATACTTTCATCACCTAGCGTACTATTCTGTTAAATTTCTAAAATGAAAACAAATACAACTTCTTTCTGTAATGAAAACTACCGTTATGACTAAAAATGGTTGAAATGAAGTCATTAACATAATTTGAAGACATGATTCTTATCCGAGTCGTGGAATGAAAAAATTCATCATCGATAAACCGATAAGGATTTTCATAGAGTGAATGCTTTTAGTTCTCTAATTATGCTATTTGGAACAAGTTATAGAACATATAAGCTGTTTAACAGGTGCATCTCATTACTAAACTTTGTTTAAATTGATGGCATTTATCTAAATTTGTGTTAATAAAATGAATAGTTAGTTCTGAAACCATCTGAAGAACTGACAGAACAAAAATGCGGAGGTCAGTGGAAGTTTACAGTGCTCATGGATTCGAATTGGTAATTTTGTGATACTGATGTAATGTTTCCAAGACATTACATTTTAATTTTATTGAAATCGCGAACCGATCTAAGGTGGACGACCATTAAAGACGCGGTGGCATTATACTGTAACTAATGGAGTTCAACTGTGTCGGGTATGAGGACGTTACTTACCGATAATGGAAGATGGTCGCACACTTGGCTTGGTTTCATTCAGACTTATATATCAATGGAAATCGACTTAGTAATCTAGAAGTTAAGCGTAATAACGCAAAAATTGAAGGTCTTGGAATCGATTCCCTGTTGTGGGGTTGTTGGTGAGGATTGTCAAGGAGCTCCGAATTAGAACTAGTGCTTCCAAATTTTCAATGGTTGTCTTACTTAGGTCGATCTTTGATCTCACTGAAGTTCGAAAATCTTCAAAAACCCCCAACTAAAAATAACTTTTAAATAGGACTTATTTTTATATCAATCAGTAGTAATAAATCTTTAGTAGAAATCGAGTAATAAATTTGATTTTCATCTACCTTGACTTTTCATCATTTAGTAGACAAATTTGTGTTTTCATTAAGAAGTGAGAGGATTGTCTGCATAGCTCCTGATCTGCATTAAGACTACAAGACTTGAATTAGCTGTTGTTCGAAAACATCTAGCATTTCAATTGTGAGCATGGTAAATACAAAAAAATATCGATATTTATCAACATGAAATAGGTAAACGTACTCGTGCACATGCAATTATCCCGTAGTTAATAGCCATGTTTGTGCATCCGAACATCGACCCTATGGCTGCTGGAGCCACTGTTGATACACTGCTTAAAAAAAGAAAACCTCCAATACCCCAAATACAATAAAGCATTTTCGCCGTCAATCCATCCGTCAGACTGATGTAAGGAAACGTCAAAAGAAGGATGGCCCAAATCAGGCTTATTATACAAAACGGAATCTACGACATGAAAAAAGTGAGATTCTACATTTCGATTAAATACATGTCAACAATAATTATCCATATAAATAATTTCTGAAAAATAGTGGATTTCTTTGAATTAAATGTGAATATTTAATTTTCGCTCCAATCTGTGTAATATTATACTCTAAATTTTTAGAAGTTGTAAATCCCTATAGTTAATTAAATACATACAGTTTTTTATTACTTCTAATTTTCATGAAAATCAAACTTTGTGTTTGATTTTTACTAGCGACATCATCCATTTACGAATAATGACTAACACTCTCATAGTACATCTGGTAATGAAAATGCATAAAAGTTAATGAAAACTGTTAATCACAATCATATGTACAAGACATTACTGTTGTATCTGCCGGATAAAGTTTACACTGATATTTCCGATTCATTAAAATGCATACTAATTTAAAATGAAATATGTCATTACATTGATGAATAAAGATTTTCTACATCTAGAATTACAAAATATGGTTGATAACTAAAAATCTGTGCAGAATACGCCTAAAGTTTTATCTACTGATTAAAACAATCATTAAAACCCACTTGAAAAATTAAAAAAACTAGGTATTACATCTGCTACTTCATTGATAAAATGACTTTCAACTCAAACGTGTTTGTATATATTATGCCATCAAACACCAGGAATTTCGAAGTACACGTTTACTCTTATTCTTGTTCTGAATAACAAGTTTATATAATATATTATTTTTAATGTATTTATCTGTCTTAATACCGAGGAACCACTGAAATTCATTCCAGGTGTATAATTAGACGGCACTTCCAGTGAATAAATAAGATACTAGAACTATCTTTCACCATTAAAAAAGATTAAAGGTTTTTTTCCATTTATTGAGCAATAATATTGTACAAACGTCGACGTAACTACGGTTTAAATAGGGTAGTCATGAATAAATTTAATTTATGTATTAAAAGCTCCAAACTGAAATTTCAGTAGAATGAAAGTATCCATAGAGTTTAACATACTATATCTGATCAACATTGATTTTTTGTATATTATAGTTAGAATTCTGTTATGCCCCTATAAGCATAACGAATGGTAACTTTTGGGATCCATTTATGGACGAGTACTATGCGTATATTTTTATCGTATAACTGTCAAATAATTAAATAATTACGATTTACCATTCTTGAATTATGCCCTGTCTATTAATTATCACACTCACAGCCACTTTTGGCTAAATCTTGTACAAATGTTATTTTCCATTTTATGGTACGATGTGGTCTGTCTGGTTGGTATATGAACCCAGTATACTCGAAATAAACAATTCATATCGCAGAGGCTTAGATTAGTGTTCTGGACTTAACTGGCTGGGCTAGGCAGGAAGCAGGACCGATAAGTACTCTAGACTGCTCATACGGGTTTACGCGTCATTAGTCCGATCGATAATTCACTGCTCTCTAATTGGAGGTATCATTACGTTATACATAAACAGGGGACACAGACCACAAGTTATAACAAACTCACAATTGTACCGAATGAACAGTAGTAAATAAAATGTCAAATATAGTTATCAGTCTGAGAGCTGGAGAGGATCATTTATATTGTATTTCTCAGCTACTAGGATGATCTGATCGCTCTGTACTTATTAGTTTTAGCTCGACAGCAGAGGTGTGTTAAAATGTGTCACTGGACTAATCTTTTGTTCTTAAAAAAACAGAAGTGAAAACGTGATTGGTTTCGTAAAAAGGAAGATCTTAGGTTCTCAAAATAAAAGTGACATGTTTGGTTAGATTTTCAAACTAATCTAACATTTTTTTGTAGATTTGTGAATTTTTTTGGAAGTTTTTCATACGAGTTATGTGATAAATGTCTCACCTTGTATGAAAATCGATCCACAATTGATCCCCAAATAATACGGCCACCGGCATTGAAAACTGCAGTCATTGTAACTATAATTGATAGGTACTTATCATCACTGATAAACGACTGACCAAATAACTGAAAACAATGTAAACAACTTTATTGAGTGGTGCGAGATGTTGGTAAGTTAGAAATGTCAGTGAAGACAAAGAAATACCAAAGAATGGTATTTCCATCGTAGTTTTTAAATTGACAAAATTTGAAGAATGCATTTCGGTAACTGTTAATCTTAAGGTTGAAAAATATTTAACTTCATTTTGACGGGAAATGAAATAAGTTTTTTTAAGAACATTTTCATAAAAAATATTAGGATCACGTACAAAATATTTCGATGTTACGTAGATTTATGAAAAAGAGATTAGTCGTGTATCCCGTTATTAGGACTAAAGGTGTTTATAAGAGCTTAAAAGTGCTTTTACATATGACGTTTATGGTTAGTTTTCGAAGTGCTTGTTTGATAAAGAAATTTGCCTGTTCTGGTGTGGTACAACATGAAAAACTTGGAAAAAATACAACTCGGTAGGTAGTTTAGTATATAATGAACAAAACTTATATAAAAAAGAAAAATGTCCCTTCCTTTCGCAGCCAAGAATTTTTGTCCATAAAACTATTAAAATTAGTACAAAGTCTTGCTGCGTTATAAATTAGTAATTCGAAATCATTTAGCAGTTTACGAATGATTAGATGTAATCATCATCATGAAAGAAGAAATGATACTGGACGTTACTTTGTATAATAGTGGTAAAATAAAACAAAGAACGTTAGCGGTATTTTGATACCTTATAAAAAATATGTATAAATCTAAAGTTATCTGAATAGGTATTTTGAAGTAAAACGTTTTGAATTCTCGTAAACGTTTGGACGTAGAAGACAAGTAATTGAGTCAAATTGATTTCTGTAGAAAAGGCTAATAAAAGCTACGTTCATTTCCACAGATCGACTATACAAGTTTCATCAGTAGTGTTGTATCTATCAAATCAAAAAACGTGTTGAACAAGAAGACTGCCGTTTCTTAGGTTTTTCGACTCCAAATAAATGTTTATCTTTACCAAATCATTTTGATCTCACTGTACCACTATCATCATAATCAGAAAGAAATAAGATTGTCTATCGAAATCCGTTAGTTATTATTATTTGGTAGCATATTAAAGGTAAAGTATGTTGACGCTGCTCTATATTTGATTTCCTTTTATATTTGCGATAAAATCAACGATTTCTCAAACATGGATAGGTGTACCAAGATTCTCAAAATACGCACTACTTTTTCATGTAAAAATGAAAAGAAGATGAATTACAACTAAACAAAGGTACAATACTTTTACTGACGAGTTTATTCATATCCTAATGGATTTAATATTTATAGTATCAATAATAAATTTTTGATGAAAATGCATGATCGAGAATTGCAAGAAGATTTTCTATCTTGATCACTAAAAAGTTGTCCTGTTGGCGTTATCAAAACTTTAAACATCCACAGAATATTAAAATCACTAATCCCGAACTTTTTCTACAACTGGTTGTCTAGAATTACTTATCCGTTATAACAAATTATAATATCTATATTCTAAAGTTCAGCATAAAGTTGATAATAAACCGTCCACTTTTCTCATTTCGATCTCTTTTGACATAATGCTCTGTTGCATTCTTCATATTAACTGTATGCAATCATATATATCGTAGAAGTAATAGCCATACAGTCTACAGTTATCTCGCTTAGTCCGTTCTAACATTGGCGTTATCACGCTAATGTAGCAATACTAACTTAAAAATAACATTAACTCATTTGAAATCTGGAAATATTTCAACAGTCAAGTTATTTTCACGTTCATTTCTGTTCAGTTTCATGTAAATAAACGAAATTCAGCACTTAAATTTATGGTTTTAGGGCAGCTGAAGACAATTGTAAGATTAATTACTATTCAAAACTTGTTAAACAAGTGATGGGAAGACACTTGGATGAACTTGCTAACCAAAAAGTAATAATAGACAGACTATTATATTCTTTAATTATACTAGTCTACGTTCAGTATATTAAACATAATAATTAATGAAAGTGAAAATGAACTTACTTTATAGGAAGAAGTTAAAAGTGTAAGCGGCACGCTGTTACAAAGTTCGATCAACCATAAAAGGTAGAAGTCGATATGACGAAACAATTGACCAGGTTTTATGTCCACTGCACTTTAAAATAATATGTTAACAATATGGCTTATCATACAAGTATGAGATTTTAACTAACAATTATTAAAATAAACATGAAGAATTATTACCATTTTTATTTGATAGATAATTCATGATAACAGTAAATAGATATAGTTTGAATGACTTCTATGAAATAACGAAATCTGAAAACATGACAGTGAACAGATATTACTAATAAATAGACAGGATAAATCGACGCACACTTTACTGACTGCCGTTTCAATAATGGATGAAAAAAACTGAGAATATTATCATAATGCTCATGACGCTCTTAGAAGTAAATAATATTTTCGATGAACGCTGATAATAAGGTGATAAATTTATGTCCACTTATGTGTTTTTCACAAACAGTAAACTATCAGATATTTACAACTATCGATTAGCATTTTAAACCACCTTGTATATGTGTTAAAGATAAATCAATATTTTTCTTGGCTTATTTTTATTTGAGTAGTTCAATCCAATCTGTATCGTTGAAAATCATTATCTAGACATATCTAGTTTACCTTTACTTTGTACACTATTATTTTATTCAAAATATATAGTTATCTAAATAATTTCATTGCTGTGTGGTGCATGCTACTTATATTGATGTAAGTAGTATATGACGCGAGTTAAAAACGTAATGTCTGGCAGCAGAAGATGGGAGATCAAAAAAGGAAGAGCGGGAACATAATGCAACTTGTAAGAAAACACATGAACAATGAAATGTGAGACAATGGATTGATGTTTGCAACAGGAACAGTCCGTTTTGATATGATGGATTAATATTTTGCAAATTAACGATTTACTATATGGTTTTTTATATTTTACCGAGTAACTCTGTAATTCTGGGTTGTCCCCACCCGTGTTCTATTCCCTACAGCTGTAGAATCGGTGACTAATTTTCGTATGATTACCCGTTCAGCCAATCCGTATCAGAATTCATACTGAATTTATAATTCTCGGAGAACAGTTGTCTTACATTTCATTTCTTTTGAATAGCTCTAGATAATACTACATTTTTCAACCATACTTTTAGTTAGCACACTGTTACATTAGCTCTTTTTGAATAAAGCTTTCAAGATGAAATCAGATCACATTCTTTGATATTCTGTAACAGTTAGCCAAATCAAACATAAGTTTTCCAGTAGTTTCATGCTTTGTTAAATTGTGAGTCAATCACATATGTTGTGTAAATCATTCACTAACAAATACCACAAACAGATAGCTGTTTTGTGAATATATTTTTATTGAACTTACCAAACATATTAATGTTACACCGTTTGAGAAAATAAGGCGAGGATATTAAAAGAAGAAAAAGACTTAAATGGACCTCTTTATTGTATTCAGTTAAATCAAATGTAAAGAGTCTATAAAATTCTTTTGTGATTGTTCTTCTTGCTCGATATAATTTTATAAGAATTAGAATTTTTGTTGAAATTAAGCATATAGATTCACACCACTTTAAATATATTGTGGAATCTTAATGCTTATTAAATATTTTTATATTCTCTGTTAATATGGGAGTCAAAATTATCAAATAACTAAATTGTTTTAGAGAAAGTATTGTTATATTATGCAAAGTTACTCTTATTCTTAGTTAATTTCGATGAGTTCCCACAGAGACTGTGCTGTATTTCAAACGTTTATCTATAAGAACCTATTTTTATGTCAGTTTTTGCTCAAATAAATTGCTATTTTCGATCGATATATATTTACACACCTTCCACACAAACTGAAAAATTTAAACGAATATTTTCAAATGAAACTCACTTTGAACAATTCGAGATTTTTACGTCCTAAGTAAATAAAGATAAACTATGGTGCTCAAAGTATATTGATGTTTAGCAAAAACAATTTAGCAGAATAAATTCTTATTTCAAAAATTTTAAAATCCTTCGCTCAACCATGGGGTGAGTTGAAGAATGCCAGAAATTGATAAAATAGCATCTTCAAGCGTTATTGCTAAATTATTTCACAATCGCTTCATTAAGAACGCATAATTCTGTAGATTTTCAATTTATGAATATCGAGAAAATAAAACACAAAAGACTTTGAAAAGAGATTTTTCAGCTAAGTCTAACGAATTTTTCATCTAATAAAATTCGAATCGCCGCAAAGAAATGTTGAAAACAAAGCAACTTTCATTATCTTTATTTTATTAATTGTTTTTGTCTCAAGAAGGTTTCTTTACTATCTCATAACATGCTTTCATAAATCATAAGCTAACCATATAATAGATGAGTGAACTAGTAAATCTAAACTAATGTCATCAAACGAACGGTCAGAGCAAGAACTGTAATTAAATAAAATGGTCAATATGGAAATCAGTATGATTTCTTTGTAATATATGTGCCATGTTAAATGTAATTTCTAAGAACTTACGTAATCCTTTATTTCATATTCTGAAGACTCGCTTTCATCCAAGATTTCAATTTTATTATCTTTCTAAGAAGAAATATTTGAAAAGTAAAATATATATTATGTCAATTCTTTTAGAACTATCAAAACAGCACACGACATTGAATCCCCTAGAGAAGTGGGCACATTGTGATTTGATCGACAGATTTCAGCTAGCCCAAAACAGCTAGACGAACATTGATCATTACTCAGTGATCAATCAGTTCTAAGTAACTCATCTGCCAATAAATTATTTTGAGATGTAACTGGAAATATATCAATGTATAGGTATCTGGTTATCAGTGTTCACCCGATTATGTCAAGTCACAATAATTCGCTAAGTGACATAAAGATGATTGCGCAGTGAAATATGATTTATGGTTACAGATAAAACTAACATTTATTGTTAGTTATATGAACTACCATTTTTACTGGACGTATGTAGAAATACGATGAATCAAAACACCTTATTCGTTTGTCTTCTTTGCTCTACACAGTTGCAAATGTTTTGGAGATCAACTGATAGTGTGTCGTCAGAGTTTACCAGTGTTCACTGATAACCAGGGGTTTGGATATGGTTGTCTATTAGGAAATGACAAGAACACAGCTATTGATATTGTTTTGAAATACAATTATATAGGTGCTTAAAATAATTGATTATGCACACTAAAAGTTGAAGATTCAGTTAAATGTGAAACAAACGATCAAACTGCCTATGTTTTGTTACAATTACATTGCAAAAATCATGCTTAATTCATTTCAATTATTTACCGGCTAACGTTTACATTCATCTCAGCAAGCCTGATACAATAATATGTAAACTGGCACTGAACTACACTGTTTTGTTTTACGTCGCAGTAACTGTGTCCTGTCAGCCTATAAGTAGTAAGCACATTTCGGCAGTAGATGTCATGTGATCGATTTGTGCATTAATATATCAAGTTTGCTGAAGTAAATTGAAAATTAACATTGTTGAACCACTATATTTTGTTTTATTAAGATTAGTAATAAATAATAAATAGACGGTGATCCGTGAAACTGTTGTAGTTCGAAATGATGGTATAAACTGTATCCGACTATTTTTAAGTGTGTTATAAGACTCAGTAGCTAAGTGGATGATGCGATGGTTTGAAGCGAAATGAGTTCGAGTTCTGGAGTGAAAATCAACACTGTGATGAATGCACACCCAGCTGACGAGTCCCAGATGGGACGAGACGCTGGTCCTGGATTCCACTGCTAGCCATCATCCATCGCAGCTCATTATATCCCTTGGATCACACCACGAATTCACAAGGTCAGTGGAAGATGCGAGAACGAGGAGAGGGGTTGAAAGAACTTCAGATCACCACCAAATGGTGGTTGCAAATATGAAACTGAAGCTAAAAAATTATTGAACAACTAGACAAACAGCACTACCAATGTTGAACACAGCCTTAATTCGAAATACTGACAAACTCAACGAATTCAAAATAACTCTCAACAACGGGTCCTAAGCCTTAAGAGAACTACTAAAATAAACTATTACGGAGAACAACTGAAAAGAGATCAAACAAGCACTAACTTCAACGTTTCAGGATGTGCTAGGCCTCGAGAAGCATCATAGTAAGGAAAGAACCTCTGTCGAAACCCTGGACAAGATTCGAGAAAGGAAGAACAAGAAGACATCATTTAACAACGGCCGAACAACAACAGAGAAAGTCAGGGCACAAGCTAAATACATTGAAGCAAACAAGCAGGTGAAGAAGAGCATTAGGGCTGAAAAGCAGAAATATGGGGAAGAGCTGGCAACGACAGTGGGAAAAGCTGTAAGAGGACGAAATCTAAAACGACTATATAAAGTGATGAAGAAACTGGTAAGGAAGTATTGCAAATCAGAGAGAATAGTCAAAGACAAACACAGCAAGCCACTCACTGAAATTCAATGACAGAAGTACAAATGGGTAGAACACTTTGAGGAACTCTCGAATAGACCAGCTTCATTAAATCCATCGGATATCAAAGCAGCACCTACAGACTTTTCCGTTGATGTCACTCTACCAATGATCGAAGAAATCAGAATGGCCATCAGACAGATCAAGAGTGGGAAAGCATCAGAACCTGATAATATACCACCTGAATTATGAAGTCTGACATAGAAGCAACTGCAAACATACTCCACGTTCTATTCAGGAAGATTTGAGAAGAAGAACAAGTGTCGACAGATTAGGAAGAAGGATATCTTATCAGGTTACCAAAGAAAGGAGATCTGAGCAAATGTGAGAAATAAAGAGGCACCACACTACTATCGGTACCAGAAAACGTTTCCAAAAGTGTTGCTGAACCGGATAAACAATTCAGTAGATGTACATCTTTGAGATCAACAGGCTGGATTCCGTAACGATCCACAAATACAAAATGAAGAACACCAAATCAGATACGCCCGATAGAGAAACTCTGGAAAATGTGGAAGAGTTCACGTACCTGGGAAGCATCATCGAAGAACGTGGAGGATCTGATGCAGACGTAAAGGAAAAGATTGGCAAAGCAAGGAAAGCATTTCTACAGTTGAAGAACACATGGGACTCAAAACAACTGTCAGTCAACATCAAGTTCAGAATCCTTAATACGAACGTCAAAATTTCCACTGTACGGAGGTGAAACTCGGAGAACTAGCACAACCATAATCAAAAAGATACAAGTATTTATAAACAGTTGTTTACGTAATATATTGAATGTCTGTTGGCCGGATACCATCAAAAACAATCTACTGTGGGAGAGAACAAACAAATCTCCAGCTGAGGAAGAAGTTAGGAAAAGACTTTGAAAGTGGATAGGACACACATTGAGGAAACAATCAAACTGCACCACAAGGCAAGCGCTTACATGGAAACCTGAAGGCAAACGGAAAAGTGGAAGGCCAAAGAACAAACTGTGCCGACAATTGGAAAAGGATGTGAAAAGGATGAATAACAACTGGAAACAACTAGAAAGGATTGCTCTGGACAGAGTTGGATTGAGCGGCCTATGGTCCTCCATGAGAAGTAAAAGGCGTAAGTAATTAAGTAATGTTATATACAATTATTTATATTTATAATAACTAGTACAGTTAAAATCAAATGACATTGATTGGATGTTGTCACCTGTTCTAGTTAAACAGTGTGTAACAATCAACAAACATTGATTAGCTGAAGTGTCAGAAATAAAAATCACTATAATTTTTAAGGTGTCATAATCATTCATTTCAATAATTCTCCTTTTTACGAACATAATGTATTTTTTTTATCACAAGTGAGCTCTCCCTATTTGATTATAATATCAGCTTAGACTTTTCAATGACTTTATACTTCATTCTATCTAAAATGGTCTATCCTTCTCTTATTCTATATTCATGCATTTAAATTATTTGTGAAAGAAAACAGTGGCAATAATAAAGAATGCTTGGTTATATTTAGCCATATTATGCCACTCTATTTAAGAAAACATTGATTTTTTAATGTGCGCTTCACCAATCCCGTTTTATTTGGGTAACTATTCACTATGCTAATTGAATGTACTTCCAAATAATATAGGGGTAGAATTTGTGGTTTTTGACATCGAAATTTCAGCATTTGATAAAACTTTATTCATTAAAGGATCAATGGTTTATTAGGATTTTCAGATGATGACTAGATGTATTGTTACCGTACAATCACTTGTAAATTTTTACCAGTATAAAAAATGTTCTTAACCTTATACTACTTTCAATAAAGAAACCTTTTTTATGCCAAACTGAATCGTTTGAGAATGTTACCAAACAATAATTTGTTTTAATTAAAATCTTACAGTATTCGATTTAGGCTTTGAACGCAGTAAAATCAGACCAATGATCTGAGTAACTGATAGAATAATTCCAATAACAAGAAATACATGTGGTAGTCTGTTAAGTACTTCAGGATCATCAAATTGTCTAAAGAATAGAAATAATTAGAAATGAAAAATTACGAAGATAGTAAAAATATACTTTATCACAAATTAATCATTATTAAGTAGTATTTCATTTCCATGTTAAAGCAAATAATATTGTTCAAAACCTAGAAAAATTCTTATCTTTAATTTTAAACCAGTTAGTGGTATACATAAAACTGTGTTAAAAGAACATAGATTTGTGACATTTTTGAATAAAATGTTTAGGCAGTGTAGAGGCTAAACATTTTTAACTTTCGAATTGAAATGATGTAAATAAAAGCATTTATCAAAGGAATTACTACTTCAAGTATTTCCCCATGTCCCTTAATATCTGAGAATTTATTTGTGATTCCTTTTTAAGGACGAATGAGGTTAATACTTTGACTGTCTTTGAAAGGATATAATATCTAGTCTGGTCATAAACCAAGTTGTTCTTTATGCTTTTTCGTCTCACTTATCTCTAAGTATTCCATTTTTTATGCCGTCGAATTTTCTTTTTTTCTATTCGCGCCCTATCCTGCGTAGCCTGAACGTACTGCGATTACTTGTCGCCAGAATAAGACATTACTTGTGCATCTATTCATTACAACTGAGAAATGCCAATACTTTAATCGTTTTATTACCTTGTCACATTGTTAACTGGGACATTGTTTGGGTTTATCAAAAATGTTTGGATAGGACTGAACACCAATGATCCCATACCATATCCACTAACCACTAGTCCAACCACAAGGCCTCTATGTTCAGGAAACCACTAGAGAGAGAGAAAAGCGGAATCATTATTATACAACACGAAACTAAGGCTTATTTTAATGTTATAAGATTATTTATACATAAAAAATGTATTTGGTTATCCGAAAAAAGCACTGATTGAAGTGTTCAAAAGGAACAAGAAAGGAGTTATTATTTTAATTAGAACACATATGTATGTTATTAATCAACAATCACTTTTTCAATGCAAGGAAATTAGTAAAGATGGATACAGCTAAGCAAAACCCATTTTTGGAATTAATCAATTAGAAGCAAGAACAGTATGCATTAAGAACTAAAATCAAAATGAGAATGCAAACATTATAACACATTCCGTTCATTTAGAAAATGTTCAGTAAAACAGAAACTTAAAGTGATACAGTTCAACAGGAAAGTACAAGATAACCTCTAAGAGCTTTTAAATAATTGATCCAAATGAAACACAATTATACATCGTTTTTTGGCAACAAATCCTAAATTAACCCCTCCTCTATTTTTAGCACTTAATGGAGCCCATATTCATAATAAATCATTAGAATAAAAAGTCGACATTTCGAGGAAATAAATACTATTGAACCATTGTTTCGACCATCCATGAACACTATCTGATATTAGTACTTTCTACACACACTGGATCCAAATAAAATGTTTGAGAAAGCAATCATTAGACAAGGTGACAACTAACCTCGTGAGATCAAACGCCTTGTTTTTTTGAAATTTTACAATCAGAATTTCATCATTGTTACACTGAATGCGGATGATTTACCTTGGTTTTCACTAAAAGAATTTTTATTTTAACTGCTACATCATCACCAGAGCTTATATGGCCATCCAAACAGATGAACATCTTCACTGTTTTTTGGAGGGACATTATCACATTTGGGTATAAGGATAGGTTCCTATCGTTCCTATGGAGGTACTTTTCATTGTTATATGTAAAAAATATTACTAGTAAATTATTCAGCTTAAGATTAATTAAATCTAGGGATTAAATAATTTCATTCGTTATACTATAGATATAAGTAATAGTTCATATTCAATAATAAAACATCGGTACTTTTCACTGTAGAGAATAACATACACAAATAGTATATCATGCGTTAAGCAGAAGAATAAAATCAAATTACATCATTAACACGGTTTGATTTTTCTTCGCATACCAGTAACACTAAACTTTTCGTAAAAACTTTTTCAAGCTGATTTTTTAAACATTTTGGTCATTTCTGTAAAAGTTACAAGATATGCCTTCTTTTGCTGCATGATATGGTTTTGACGAAAACAAAAATTTGGAACGCGTCTACATGCTATTTAGTGATCTGAACTATATAATAGATAATACAGCACTTCGGTTTAAACGTTTATATTGAGATGCATAACCATTTGTAGAGGAAAGGCGTTATCTGTATGGAACTATTTTAAACACGCGATGATACATTGCATTACTGATTACTCAATTTAATAACTCTTAGATATTTTGAAGCTAGTTTTAACTCCTTTACAAATTACTATTTATCTTCATAAATACAAACTGACTATAGTATTGCACTAAAAATAATAAACATAATATAAATCCTTTTAGATAAGTTTATAATAATCATAGTTTCAAAACTGTTTAAATATAAAAGTTGTAAATATTTTACTGTTGCAGCAACGGCCAAAGTTACTGAAAATCCTAATCCAACACCTGTACCAAACAGGAAAGAATAGGTCAAAATAACTCCAACGTACATCTTTTGTATCGTAAAGTAAGATAATAGGACACCACCACTGAAACAGAAAAAAAAATTAAATTCCTCAAACATCAGATTATTATTTTGTATGAGATAGACGGTGAATCAAGCTTTCAATCCGCCATCGTTAAAACATTTGTAAAAATATAAACATCGATAAATGACTGAGGAAAGTTACTGTCAAATCTATCAGTTTTGTAAGACGGGAGAAAAGGGCGAAATCTTTGTGCTTCAGGTATTTCGATAATGCAATGAGAAGACGAAGGTTATCAGAATTATGTGATATATTTGCGCAAAGCATCTCGAACAATCTGATCACATATATACTTGTTAAGACATTTTTATATAAAAACTAAAAGGTCAACTAGATACATTAAAGGTAAACTGTAACAAAGAAAAAGAAAGCATACATAAACAATGCGATAACCATTCTAGATAAGGAATCAGTATTAGCAGTATAGGTTAAGGGTAGAAACAAATTGTTTTTGAACACATAAAGGGGGTTTCAGTTTCCGTATAGCCAAGGCTTTATTCAAGTATTTATTTTAATAAAAACAACGATAGTATAAGAAAAATATGAGTTTACTTGCTTCGTGAATACTCTTCAGCTACATACAACCTAGATGCAGTAATATTACTCATTAAAACCAAACTAGAACACTCGTGTTACCTTCAGAAAATTTCTGATTAAGTTCAATTTGACATATAGATGTGGATTATTAAAGGACAATAACTGCAGAAGAAATAAGATGTTATTCTAACGGTTAACAATTCACAGATTAATTATATGAGAAAACTGAAAAGAGTATGGAAGTCGAAGGTGTATGTCATAGTTAATTATCTTTAAGAAATTTGAAACATCAGAATCATGTCAAATGTTCAAAAAATCCTATTTTCTCATCTTAGATATCGTGTAATGTGTCCATAGACGTGGGCGCTAGTCCTTTTTAATCTACTTTGAACGTATGTAGACTTCTAGATACAGTTAAAGGTAAAATGGTGAAATATGTCGCAATCAGGAATTTGTTTGATTAAGAGACATCAATTTAGAGACTGAGTACATTCTTTTTAGAACAGCATTTAATCTTTTAGCTATTTCATCACTCTTAGAAAGACAGTAGCATGTTCCATATCTTTGTTCCTAATCTTTCCATATTTAGCATTGAATTTTAGGCAGGTTACGGTTATTTCATAAATTACCTTTAGTTACGATTAATTTTTCCTCGGTCTTATCCTCTGAACATGATCTATGTATAAGATTGAATAGTGTTCTGAGCAGAAGCTATTGAGTTTCAAGCATAGCTCACTATTCTTTTCGATAAATATATCATCGCAATCGGGTATTCGTATTTTATCATCAACATGCCTGATGCCTAACGTTGTGTCATTAACTATCAGTCTCGTAATTTGTTTGCATTAGATTTGCCACGAAGATATTTAGCTAATGAAGTCTCAAGACCAATTCGTTGGAATAAAAACTATGAACATTCTATCTCAGGTTTTAGGCTCCTTAATAACTAATTTTTTTCCTCACCATAATTTTGATCACTTTGCTACATCCTAAAAGCTGAGAATATCAATACTCGCAAAATTGAGATTTTAAAGACATGAAGAGTTTCAAAACATTTTTCCTTTGATATCCGACTAAAAAAGATACGATACATGGGTTGATGAAATTTCGCTACTGTACGGTAACTTTTTCCTATGAAATAGGAATAGTAACAGTCCAACCATTGAGTTTTTGAAAGAAACCCGTTTCTCAATCTTAGAAATCTACTCTTACTTTTCACGCCACAAAGGTTTAACTTCGAAAGTTATTGGCTCATGCAATAGTAGCAATAGACTACATTGGTCTAACACGAATAACTATAAAATCCGCCTTTTTGCATTTTAATGTTTTCAAATAGCATTCTAAGTTTTTGGAACAGATGCTCTCATGTACTAGAGTAGATAGTTACTAAGTAACGCTCCTGATAACTTCATGTTTTATATAACGTATGGCTTTTTCTATGGGATAGAAAGGTCTAATCTATTTGACTGACTTTTAATGGTTAAAGACGTTCTGGGTAACCCTACAAAGACCAGCCATTTTAGCTAATGGATATCGTCGGTGAATACTTTTGAATAAATGATTGTTTATATGACAATTGTTTTTGAAGGGTTGGACGACTTTTGTCCATCGTGAAGTAATTTCACAATGTAATATATCGGTATATGGCCCATCTGAAAAGGCGTGAGGTTTTCAAATCTTTAATTAGGAAGATTAATTCAAGTTCTGTATGCTAACGATTTGACTGATAATCGCGTACAAATAAGTAAACGATGATTATCCTGAATAAAACCATAAACAAACTTATTACATCTTCACACAAATACTATTGATTCTTAAGCATATTTTTGGCGATTTCTATTTCACCTTTTTGTTAAATAAATTAATGGTAACCATATGGGGCTAATATCTTCAAGTACATGATCAGCTATCAAAGTCATTGACACACCTCATATTAGTTATGCTTATTAATATATTTCTTGTTGTATAATAGAGTAAAATCCCCTTTGAATTTCTTGTTTACGGATTACATTCTACAACCAAGAAATGATATTTCTTATACTAATATTAAGGCGGTTAACAAATTTTAGAGTTCCTGTGTTGGTAATATTCATATTTAATTACTGTACGTTAGTATATCTCCATACTGAGTATTTTTAATAAAAGGATACCGAAATATAAGTTTAAAATGTTTATGAAATTAAGACCGGTTTTACTCGGTGTGATTAGTACATTTAATCTAGGACATGTATATATTGACGTTCATGAAGTAAAAGGAGATTACGAAATAAACTGCGTTTAGGCAAGCACTGTAATTGTTTACAATTAACATATTTAAGCCTTATGAAGATTCTGATAAACTTACGTGACCCTATACAGAAAGTAACATAAAAAGTAATGGAAATATGACAGAATTAAGAGGATAAAAAAAAGTTTAATAAAACTTCACGGGTATTTATGACACAGTTTGATAGAAAGTTACAAACCTTGTGTAACAGTTTATTTGAGTCGTTTTAATAAACCTTTGGATGTAAAAAGCGATAGTTAGAATCAAATAAATTAAAATGGCGACCAACAAAATCTTTAATCTATCACTGTTGTCACAATGCATACATAATGAAACTTACTTTCGATCATATTTCATAGGTAGTTCGTTTTTTTGAGTAATTTTAAGCAGAATCTACAGCAGTATATTTTTGTATGAATGTAAGAGGAGGGGTAACTATGGTAACTGTCGGTGTCTGATTTCATCAATGATAAAATCCTTCCGGATTAATTTATTAAGATAAAACTATGAAGTATCATAGAATTTTATTATGACTTATTCTTTCTGAGTGCTAGTTTGGTTCGGTTAAAATTTACAAAGTACGTTTAAGGAAACAAATAAAAAAAACAGTAGATGTAAGAAAAAACAGTGTATTTTCGATAAATATAATGCAGTGAACTTCATTGGTATTAACAGACTGGTCCCGATTTGGATGGCATAACCCGAAAATCCCAGAAACATTTGATGAACTAATTTTTCTATAAATGGAAAAACTGAAAGCTGCAAAGCTCAGAGTTGGTTACATGGTTTGCATAGAATACAAAAAACAATGAATTTAGGGGGTATTAATATATTCATATGGAGTACAAAGTGATCTGTGACTATTTATTTGATATTTTTACTGCTTTGTTGGATGAGGACATTAATCTTTACAACCTTTGGGACAAAGATGTTATAAAATAAATAGGTTAAGTTGGATAACAGTAAACCCCGGCTAAACTATTCTTTAAACTAAATATATCTCTGCCTTAGATGAGTGAACATTAGACAGTGAATTACCTACAAAAATCCATCAAGATCCAGTATGAATAATTCAAAGCAATCGATTCGTAACAAAAAATGGCACATAAAGCATTCATTAGCTACTTCAACACAATACAGTTCTATTCTCTCGATAATTATATAAAACATTTACAAAGTAAAAATATATCTGGTTTCAAACTTTTCTATGCGATTGGAATATCTTGACCACTATTTATTATGGAGTAAAGTAGGCACTCATCATTTAGTGTGACTTTAAGGTACGATTACGTACGTTAAGCAATCACACCATAATATAGACATTCAGCTTCAGTTGATGAAGACTACCAATCAAAGTAATTAGCCAATATTATAACAGTTATAGTTGACATTTTACATATATAATACATGGCTTTGTTTTTATGACATGTTAGGTACCAGCATACAAAAAATCCCAACACACGTTTCCCAATATGTTATTCTAAACCCAAAGTAACTATGTTTTTTGCAAAAATTAATAATTGATTTGCGTGCTCTTTATCGTACTATGCTAATTTCAATAAATCTTAGGAAATCTGCTGATTTTTGTACCTTTAGTTCAACTCTAGTTTTGACAAGTACATTATATACCGGTTGGTTCTAAGGAATACTAGTTTACATAATATGTTCAACACTATTGATGTTCTGAATTAACGCAGAGTTATCAGGATGTTATTTCCAGATAAACCAGTTTAGGTTTTTTGTAAAAATCTCGAAGAGTTACCATTAAATCACGTTAAATGAACAAACTACAAATTCCATAAAAAGAAAGGATTTAATGAAACAGTCAAACTATACAGACAGTCAAGAACTTTGTTTTTAATTAGCCGAAACAACCCACTAAATGTGAATATAAAGAAAAACCTCACAGTCAGATGTATGATTGTTTCAATATTTAAATTAATGTACCAAAGGTTCAAAGTGAGCTAAAGGAAACACTTAAATGCTTTATTCAGGATCTTAAGACTGTAGTAACGGACAAATAAAAATTGCGTGTAACTGTTTTTAAGTTGTCGAAGGATTCCAGTACATTGCTTAGCTGTCCTAATCAAATTTGGACACAGAATCATTCAGAGGAAAGTTTAGATAATGTTAATTAAAGAACCACAAAACAGCTGTACAAGTTGAATATATGTTTGGCAAATGCATATCTTAAAGTAAATTTTGCTCGCAAAAATTATGCGCATTTCCCAATGCCTACTGTTTTAAGTAGAATGAAGTCCGTAATATTAGGCCAGTATGTGGTTTTTGTATGAACTTTGCCACATGTAATACCAAATATTATACTTCATATTTCAGTAGAACAGTCTGTTTAATGCTCTGATGGTTTAACCATCCACACGTTTAAATAAATCATTTTTATTTCGGAATTTTTTACATGTGATTAACGGTTTGATTTGTGACCATCTAGTCCTGTCTGTCTTTAACTAAACAATTCTGGGAGTTTATATTACTTCTAGTTATCATAATGGATCAGATATAATTATAAGACCTAGACAGATCTGTTTCAATTTCGATTGTCGATAGACTTTTTGGGATAGTATGATGTTTATGCCTGATTCAAAGTCAGACAGACAGTCAATAAAGTTTCAGTGAACTACGTAAATTCATGTATTCGTGCTGCAATTAATGCTGTTCTTAAATATAATAATTGTATTGTATGCACTCAATGGTGCAACTTTAACTTAAATGAAATATATCTCAACTAGTTAGCTGTGCTTACCATCCTTCGTCCTGATACATTCGTGAATACTAGAATACATGATGATAAGATTTTGGAGTTGAGAATCCGCATTTTACATCCAATACGATCGCTACTTAGAAGCATTTTGAAAATACCATAGTTCTAACTGGCACACTTAACATAATTAATTTTACTGACGAGAATTGCTTCAAAGAGCGTTTATGGCGTATGACAAGTATGTCGTTAAAATAGTCAGTGAATAAGTGTTTATTTGTGCAATCAATCAATATTTCCATACATTTTATGGCAAGCAAGAAACAAGGCCACCTTTTTTCCTTAAAATACATTTTTATTGTCAAAATTACTTTAGTTTTGCAATGAAAATCAATTTGCCCAACTAAATTTGAATTTATTTTGACCTTGTAAAATGGCTTCAGTGATTTGTTCGACGGAGGGTTGTGCGATATTTTTTAAAATTAATTTTCGTTATTATATGAACGTTTTGATAACCATTGTTACAACAAATATAAGGTGTATGACTTAGTACGTTTTCGACAGTTTTAATATAAATCAAACGCATATACCTATTTTAAACGTTTAATACCTGAGAAACAAACAACTGAGAGCTATTACCGGTCGGTAACCAATTTTACGCGACAGAAATCCACCAAGTGGCATAAAGATGCCGTAAACAGCAAAAGAAACTGCAGAAAACCAAACGGATGTTTGGACGCAGAGATGTGGGTTAATGAAAGTTATTAGATATCCCATGATGTATGGTACCATATTTGCTGATGAAACAAAGGTTATGAAGTCCCAAGGTTAACTTACTCAAAGAATACAAATAACCGTAAGTGAAGTGGATCAAATATCCACCGAAAACTGAAAAGCATCCAGCAATGGTGCCATCACCTCGCATGCTATAAAAATTTTTAACATTTCTACCAGACGTACATTTCAGTCACAACACGAATACAGCCAACAAACATTACCTTAGCTGAAAACATTTGTAATAGTGTCAGTCACTTTTGACCCTTGGTAGTAAATTTTAACAAAAGAACGCATTCAACATCCAATGGTTTTGCCACGAGCTTGCATAAACCAGTTGATTTTTTTATGCTCATTTCTTACTCCCTGGCTGCGACTCCAAATAATAAGTAATGTCCAATCGATCGCAATGCAGTCACTCGACTGCATTAATTTTACTCAATTTGGCGGATTTATCTGGATTTGTATATCTTGTAATTTTACTGAATGCGTTTCTTTCAAGACAGTGGGGTTTCAAGGCACCAGAAGCTATGACGTTATCAGACAGTAGATTGATGGGTTGGATGTGAAGATAGTAAGGTAGTAATTCGAGTGCTAGGAAAAGACTGATTTATGAATAATAAATTAGAGATGGTAAATATACCCACAAAATAAATAGTTTTGCAAGTTTTTGACAGTGGTGCTGATCTCATTAGTTGTACTGAATACATCCTAGTTGAACGGTCTCGGTCGCACATCCGCATTAAATCATGAGTAAGTACGCCGTGCTATGTATCTCATACAACTACTACCCAGGTTCAACTAAACGATTCTTGAAACCCCGATAGGCATACGAACATACCTTCGATCTCATCCATTTCTGACTTCTCGTTCGACTGGGTTGTTGTCTTTAAAATAATACGGTTTTGCGGACAAAGTCGTTGTAATACCATGAATATTAGTGTAGTCTTTAAGTTATTTAATTGGTAACAAGAAGGAGGATGGAATTGAAAGTACAAGAACGGAAACAATAATGATAAAAAGAGACATAGGAAGTAGCAACTGATATGCAGGAATGGCAACCGTGGTAAAAAATGTGACATGAATCAGGCGCAGTTTGTTAAAGAGGGAGACGGTAATCTATTCGTGAGTGCACACTGCAGTTTAGCGTGTCTAATCAGAAAGAATGTGTGTGTTCTTCACCATGCGTTGCTGATCGCTATAACTGGGCTACTGTGCTGTCGCCATATCAATCAACGTCCGCCCTCACTACATTTGTGACTGAACAGACAGATTTTCGAGACGTACTTGGCCTGGATGACCTCCGTTAGTTTTCCTCGGTTTATGAATTTCAGAGCCTTCAGGCGCGGAGATCTAATGATCGTGAGGTTTAGCTGACGAGGTTGACTTGACATGTATTTTACCGTAATGGTGTGAAGGTCTGTGGTACGTGATGGCCAAAGCCACTATTGTATGTTGTGTTTGTGAGCATTGTCTATTAGCTCGGGCGCTCTGTGAATCACTATGTTTGTTGGTTCTTGGGTGTTTGGTGACATTTACGCGGCATTTGTTACGGATCACGGTTTGTTGTATATAACTTGATTTTGGGAGTAATCCTCAATCGAAGGTCTCGAAGATGCCAGTAAAATGTACTTTGTAACGTGAGCTGAATCAAATGTTATGCCTGAATGAGGGAATTTACTTCTTATTATGTTCTGTCCCCAATACAAGAGGACTGTGCCACATTTGCCCTATTGTACTTCATCAAAAGCTTCCCTAATTCTACTAAGTTACTCTTCAAAACTGAGACACTAAATAAAACAAAGGATTTCTGTCTAATGTCTTTGTTACCGAATTTCAACATTCTAGAGGCTATAATTTTCGAATACCCTTCTCAAAACTTACCCAGTGCTCCTGACTCTTAGCAGATTCCTAGGTTTTACCGTCTGGCGAGTTCATTCGTGTTTGAACCCAGCTTGAGGCCCCACAGTCCTGTGTCGGTTTGAAGCTGTGTTAAATGATCTAGATACACTGGTAATGATCAATCCGATAGTTTACAATTGAGCGAAAAACTATAGTATTCGAATTATCATATGAATTAGGAATTCCAGGATTAACGCACTTGAATTAAGAAGACACAGGCACAACGAATGTACTGTATTTAGAATTCGAAATCAAACATTCAACCAGTCTAAAGGTATCATTAGTCCATTCAAACACCACAAAAACTTAAACTTTATCAGTTCCGTTAGTGGATCTTTTTACACCGTTCTGTTGCTAGAGAAGAGATTTCGTAGTTAATATTAAACACCGAATTTCGATCTCTGACAATTCTAATCATTCTTCTGGTCATAGTGTAGGTACTGGTTGCAGCGATATTCCTGTGCATGCCCCTTAATAGACTAGAGAGTAGAATGTGAAACAATCAAAGAAGGAAGTACTCAAGGTCAAAATTTTGAAAAAGAAAAATAATATGTGCTATAGAAGGATAAGGTCTGAGAATCACGTAAATTCGCAACGTTCGTTTTGACCATTCCATCAAAGCAACTTCACGTGGATCCAGTAACATATCCAAATGTCTTGTTTTTGTGAGAAAATGGATGCATGTATGTTTCGATTCAAAAAACAAAGTAGTGAGCAGTTGATCGAGACAGCTTGACATACCTCGCAGTAAGTTAACATTAGGATGACTACTTTAAAGATGAACAAATATTCGGAGTTCCACAAAACCTTAACCAGTAGCACCATTAATAATCAAAACGTACCAACTCAGAGAAATCAGAAGAGAAGAAGCACGAAGATGTATTTGATTGGCTATCGATAAAGTGACAAGCTATCAATCTAAGCTGACTAGCGATTGTTAAAGTAGTGAAGCACGGCGTACTCACTTGTGATCTGCTGCGAATGCATAACCAAGCGCCTTCAGCTTATTGAGTTCATTAAAACCTATGCAGTAAGCATCAAACGTCAAAGACTTACGGAGCTAGGGATTTTGAAGATTTATCTACCTCCTCAATGGATTGCATATTTGTCTATGAAGAGGGTAAGGACGCAGCCTGTATCCTTAGGAATGTTTAAACATTCAAACATGGCCGTGGAAAATTGGATGTTTCTGGTTATTGTTGGAAGATCAACGAATTCACGTCAGACTCTATAAGCACGCTCAACCCAACAGTTATGTATTCATAAGATGTTTGTAATTATTGTTATTATTATTATCATCAGGTTTTATAAAATACGGTTTCTGGAACAGAGCTTAAAAGCTAATGACTTCAAAGCTTCCTAATCACATAAATCTGCTTATTCTGATCTGGTCACTCTTTATAAGAATTTGACTAACTTCAGTTTTCATTAATTAAGTTGACATTTAAAATTATTTCCAGAGCCGCAGATACCACTTGTCCGTGTAGAGATTCTCACTAATTGACCACTCGATTACTAGTACGGAATCCTACACCGAGTTTGTCGAACTGAGGCTTTTAAACTTCCATGCTATAGTTTTTAATGTGACCGATCTTAAAAAGAACATAGGAAGAAAGTAAGAAAACACTGAAAACATCAATTTAGTTGCCGAATTCTAAATAAAAGTTTTCATCGCATTCTAAGGCAAGATAAAAAGTGAAACGGCTTGAGTTCTATTTCCTTGTTTAAGAGCCTGAATAAGTCTTCCTCTCTTTTATTTCACATTCTATGAACATGGTCAGGTGTGTCAGCATCCTTATTAAGATGTGGACCAGGTGCTTAGGTGTTTCTCACCAAAGCGGAATGAAGTGTTCAAAACTTAGACTAATTGTAGAATCAGCAAGCTTGATGTATTAAATGTATTATTTAAAGTTCTTCATCAGCCGCTGCATAATTATTTCCTATTGATGATGTGACAGGTATTCAGTGTTTGACAACGCTTCTACCAGTAACACCTAATATATTTCGTTCCCACCCAGAGAAATCAAAAGACAGAGTCGAGGAGATCGGAAGAGTATATTTGGCGATGACCAATATATCGGAATTCTTTGAACAAATCTGGCCAGCGATTGCGGTTGATGTTGAGCACGGCGTTACCACACGTGATCTGTTCCGGATGCATGACCGAGCGCCTTCAGCTAAATGAGTTCACTTGTGTAGATAACTCTAAAAAGCTTATTTTGTAAATAGTTTTGAATATTATTTGTATTTATTTTGTCAATTTCTCACCGCATGTACATTTATTATTAAATGATTGTACCTGTTGTTTAAGTAAATGACCTTGAAGACTTTTTCCGTTGTGTTACTAACATAGCGTGACATACTTTCGGTGTTTCACAAATACACTACTACGCACATACCCATTGTTCTATTCTTGCTCGTTACCGAGCCCATTGCGTTCTAAACTGGATATTATCCTCATTTTAGACTGCTGTGTCATTTCCATTATATCCTACGTCAAAGAAACTTATTGGCGTCATATTTACCTCTATGGAATTATTACGCATTTATAATTGTGGATTTATGGGACCAAAATTCAACAGAATACGCAACCACTAGCCGATTTAAGTAACGTCCCTGAACTTTTAATTGGTGTTGTTAATTTATAAATTATTATTCTTACATTAATTTTGGACGTAGTAACTTTATCACTGATTTTTGGTTATTATACTTTTTGGTCCACCACAATTATTTGGTGAGCCTCGATTATTTTTTTATAGACATTTACTATATATATATATATATATATATCTACATAATTTTTATTATTATTATTAATCGGCACGACACCATATTTTTGTTTTTGTCATTATGAACTCTCCGGGTAAACTTATTGATATTGATAGTTCACCGACCAACCTTCTAAACTCTCCACAACCAGAGGATAATGTTTTAAACTCAATCAACGCTATCTCGGAACTAAGATTACCAACGTACGGTGTTAATAATCCCAGGATCTGGTTTGCACAGGTTGAGGCATTATTTTTGTCGAGAGGTATACGCTCGCAAGCGACAAAATATGCATACATTGTTGGAGCATTACCCATAGAAGTGGCAGCAGAAGTCGGAGACCTGATAGATAACGTACCAGAAACGGACCCATATGACAAAATAAAAGCCGCAGTAATCCACCGTACTTCGCAGTCTGATGAAAAACGATTACAGCAACTACTCACCTCATGCGAGTTAGGGGACAAAAGACCTTCACAGTTGCTTAGACATATGAGACAACTAGCAGGCTCATACAAGTTAGACGATGCATTACTTAAGCAGATGTGGTCACAAAGGTTACCACATA